GCCCTCCCTCCCTCGCTTGCGTCGCCGTGCACGCCATGCGTCGAGGGCCGGCTGCGCCGTGCTCCTCAATCCTCCTCGCTTCATCCTGCCACCGCACCCCTCCAGACCCTGCACGTGGGCGTCTGGGACCCAGCCCCCGTACCTGGACCACGTCGCGAGCGCTACTTCCTCGTGCTGGTGGACAACTACACGCGCTACACTACGGTGTTTCCCTTGGAGCGGAAGGCCGATGTTCCTGACATTCTTATCCCGTGGGTCGTAGCTGCGCGCCTCCACCGCGGTCTCCCTGTGCTGTGTCTTCCCTCCGACCGTGGCGGCGAGTTTGCCTCTGGTCGGCTTGGATAGTTCTGTCGTGCAGAGGGCGTCACTCAGTCGTACACCCTACCAGACTCTCTACAGCAGAATGGGGTCACTGAGTGACGCATCGGTTTGGTCATGGAGGTGGCTCGTACCTTCATGATTCATGCCAGTGCACCCCATTTTCTGTGGCCGTTCGCTGTTCGCTACGCCGCTCACAAGCTTAACCTGTGGCCACACTCCCAGCGGCCGCAGGTTTCGCCGACCCTTCTTTGGATCGGGTTCCCTGGTAACGCGTCTGCGTTCCATGAGTCTGTCTCCTTTTACCACCGCTTTCCCCACCGAGGTCTCCCAGTTTCCCCACCCCTGTTTCTGGTTCCCACTCCCCCGGTAGCCCTTGCTCCCCTCCCTCTCCGTCCTGCTCCGTCTGGTGTGTCTCACGTCACTCCCCTCCCGTCGGTTGTCCTGGTCGAGGAGTCGGCTGACTGTGGTGGCCCCACGACGCAGTTCTCGCCACCTGTCCCTCCCTCGGGGTCTCCTCCTCCGCCGTCCCAGTCGCCGCCGCAGCAGCTGTCGCTGCCGCCGCTGTAGCAGCCGGCGTCGTTGCAGCAGCAGCAGCAGTTCGTGGCCTCTTGTCCTGGGGTTGGCGTTGAGGAGGGTGCTAGTCCTGGGGTTCTTGTCGTGGGTTGTGCTGGCAGGCTCGGGGGTGGCACCAGTGCTGGAGAGGGTTCTTGCTCTGGGGATGCTCGTTCTGGGGGTTCTGGAGTGGATTGGTTCGGCGGTAGCCATGGTGGAGCTGGCTGTCCAGGTGTCAGCGTCGAGCAGCAGGAGCAGCAGTCGTCGCCGGTATCCGCCCTTCGCTTGCTCGGCCTTCCCTCCCTTGACCCCTCGCCTGCGCCTCCCCCGGTGCCTCCTCCCCTTCCTCTCCACGGTCTTGTGTTTCCTCCGCCGGACTCGTCCCCGGCTCGTTTCCCACCTTGGTCACCTCCTGTTACTCCTCCTCTGTCTCTTGACCTGACGCCTCTGTCTCACCTCTGGTCTCGCCGTCCTTGTGCTCGTCCTGTCAATCCTGTTCAGCGTTCTCACCCTATGTTGCTTCGTTCGCACGCGTTTTGTCCTCCCCTCCTGCCTTCGCCTCCTCTGTCGTTGCTCGTTCTCGTGCCTCCCACTCTGTCTAACTACCTTCGTGCCGCTCATCCTCTCGTTCCTCGGTTCCTTACCTCCCTCGTTATTGACCTGTCTGTCCATGTCTCCAGTCTTGACGCTCTTGTCGCTGCTGTCGTTGACCCTGTTTGTCCTCCGTCCGTTGGGGGTGCTCCTGCCCTTGGCAATGACGTCTTAGAGGATAGGCAGTACGAGCTTCCTTTCCTTTCTGAGGCTGCTCCCCATCTCGGTTCCATGCTGCTAGTCCTTGAGTGTGACCCAGACGCCTTTGACATCCCAACCCCTCGCACTTACGCTGAGGCGACCTCGGGACCCTGGGCCTCTCAGTGGATAGCTGCCATGGAGCAGGAGATGGCATCTTGGAGATCCACCGGCACCTACGTCGACGCATTTCCCCCACGTGGGGTGAACGTAGTCGATGGTCGGTGGCTCTTTAAGGTTAAGCGCCCCCCTGGAGAGCCGCTTGTGTTCAAGGCGCGCTACAGGGCTAAAGGCTTCAGTCAGCGAGAGGGTTCTTAAAGTTATGGTTAAATGTAAAAGTTATAGGCTACACAGACTTGTGTTCTTAGAGAGTACAACTCCTACTCTATATCTCCTCTCCTCTGTACTCTCTTGTTCTAGTTCATTCCTATATTCTAACAGGCTTCTCTTCCAGTGGCCGGACTAGTAGTGCCTCCCTGGTTTGCTCTTGTCGTGTTTTTACTCTTGCTGACTGGTCTTTGAACCCCTGTCTTAGAGGTTGGACTAGTAGTGCCACCCTGAGCTGCATGTTTCTTGGTCAGCACTACTTCTTATCTAGCCTGGGGGGTGTGTCAACTTATACATATACTTGTATGAAGTTATAGGCTAGATAGGTTTGTGTTCTTATAGAGTACAACTCCAACCCTATATCTCCCCTATACTCTCTTGTTTCTAATCATTCTTGTATTCTAACAAGCAGCGCGTCGAGGCTGCTATGGCAGCACGACGAAGCCACTATGGCAGAACGACATGGCTGCTACGGCGGCGCGGAAGTGATAGGAGGGAGGAGAGTACGCTGCGGAAGCATGAGGAGAGGACCCGAGCGGAAGGGCCTGCTCCGAGAGGTTGTGGATAGATTGGTGTTGGCACAAACCCCCCTTACGAACGGACGAGAGATAGGCACAGCCTAGACATATTTGTACGAGGGCAAAAGTAATCGCGGGATGCAATCGAGTTCAAGACAAAACACAAGGCAGGGGTTCGGAATGCATAGTCCTAGCACAAGCACAGCTGCCACCAGTCTGGAATCCACTGTCCTCTATGTGCCTGACCCCCATAGCCACCACATGTCCAGGGGTGGCGGGTGGGCAAGAGGCCTTCTGAGTGCTAGATGAGTGTGATTCAGCCTGGTGCCCCCTTGTCCAGCCCCCTCCGAGCACCTCCTCCGTCCATATGGGACGAACGCAAAACCTCCCCCCCCCCCATCCCCTTCTTGCGACCCGGCGTGTGACGATGTGATGCAGGATAGGCATGGGGCATAGCCATACCATGCCATCGTAGGAGCAGTGGTCTGAGCAAAGCAGCACCAAGTGTCGAGAACTGAGCAGCTGCGGATAAAGGGAGACAACAAGGGGGCAAGAAAATGCACAAATAATAAACAGATGAGCAAGGAAAACAGCAGACCACATGGTCATGGTGGGAAACAACGTTGCGAAACAAGTGAGCAGAGCTGAGGTGGGAGGACACTGATTGATGACATGAAACGCAGAGAGGAAACCTCCCTTCAAACAACCCCAGCAGGACGAAACTTATGAGCAAAGCAACAGGGTACGGAATCGGCGTCAGCAGGGGGGTCAAGATGTGAGAAATGGGAAAGGAATATGGGAGAGGAGATGGAGATGCGTGGCGGGAGCGAGAGGTGAGACGAGGGAAGGGAAACATGGAGAGAAAACAGGGATGCGATGCAAATGCGTGGGTTGAGAGATGGGGAAGGAAAGCATGGTGGAAACAGGGAGAGGAAACGGAAATGCGTGGTGGGTGTGAGGGGTGTGAGGTGGGAGATAGGGAAACTGGGGGAGGAACCGAGATGCATGCGGGATTGAGAGGTGATAGGTGGGAAATGAAATTGGGGGAGGAAACAGAGATGCATGGTGGGATTGAGAAGTAAGGGGTGGGAAAGGATGCTGGGGGAGGAAGCAGAGATGCATGGTGGGAATGAGAGGTGAGAGGTGGGGAAGGAAACTGGTGGAGGAAACAGAGATACATGGTGTGAATGAGACGTGAGAGGTAGGAAAGGAAACTGGGGGAGGAAGCAGAGACGCATGTTGGAATTGAGAGGTAAGAGGTGGGGAAGGAACTGGGGGAGGAGGCAGAGATGCATGGTGGGAATGAGAGGTGAGAGGTGGGGAAGGAAACTGGTGGAGGAAACAAAGATGTGTTGCATGAGTATGGGGGAGAGGCGGGTAAGGATACTGGTGGAGGAAACAGATATGCATGGTGGGGGGGAGAGGAGATGGGTGGGAAAGGAAAAAGGGTGCTGAAATTGGGATGCACAGCAACAGTGCATTAGCTCCATTGTGGGCACCTTGGTGGCGTTGACTAGTGTAGGGTGGCGTCATCAACCCGTCGAGGGGCAACGAAAGGCCTTCTCACCGCCCCTCTGTCATTCTCTATGGAAAGGGGCACAACACCCAGTAGGATGGGATGGAGAGAAGGAGAAAACAGGTGTTTGGGCTAACAACATGGCTCGACATCTTTGGGCAAATTCCACCATGCCCCCAACCTACCAAGAGACTTACCCTGCGTCGAGTGGGAGGGGATCGGATTTGCTGGGCCGTATACGCCATCGGCATATCCGCATTGGTTGTCCGCCATGCGCCTACTGTGTCATCCGCCCACCGCCAGTTCATCGGCCCTAGGATGCGATCCTGCCGGCCCCTCTTCACCCTTGTGACACGCCGGAACCGTGTTATGTGGCGCTTGACCTCTCGCTCGACCGTGTTGTTCCAGTGGATGATGGAAAGTGCTATGCAAGCCTCCATGCTTCCTCGGAACCTGATGCGCTTTGGTGGATATTTGCATATAACCGAATGAAAGGACTCATTCAACCAACTAGAGGCTCCGGTGATAAAAGTTGTCATCTTCTCGGCACTACAATGACGCGATAGCCATTGTCGGAAGGCAATGTGTGTCTTCCCTCCAGATTTGTAAACTGCACTCTCTTTTCCCCACGCATCCGTAATGCATTTAGGCGCGATGCCATGTCGTTCGCACTTGGAATGATCACCCGCCCAGTGCTCGGCGCATATGGCAATCTCCGCAGCCACCTCTTGGGCAGTCATCGGTTTCCCAGCTGCAGCCAATGTGGCGCAGCGCAGCATGATGTGATGGAAGTGTACGCTGAAACGTTGGGCGACACTAACAGCCTCCACCGCCTCCGAAGGAGGCGGAATAGTGGCTGGGGCATCCACTTGTGAACTGACCGCGCCCGCGCTTGTGGGCAGCAGGTATATGCCTTGGCACTCACTGCCCGTCTCCCCACTGCCACTGCGCTCACTGCCCTAACTCTCAGAGCCCGTGCACGCTCTCCTCTTGCACACACTACCCTTGCATCAACAGCCCTTTTGTGACGGTCGATGCATCTCTCTCTCTCTCTCTCTCTCTCTCTCTCTCTCTCTCTCTCTCTCTCTCTCTCTCTCTCTCTCTCTCTATCTCTCTCTCTCTCTCTCTCTCTCTCTCTCTCTCTCTCTCTCTCTCGCTCTCTCTCTCTCTCTCTCTCTCTCTCTCTCTCTCTCTCTCTCTCTCTCTCTCTCTCTCTCTCTCTCTCTCTCTCTCTCTATCTCTCTCTCTCTCTCTCTCTCTCTCTCTCCCACTTGGTGCATATATCTCTCTCCATATCACTTTCTCACTCACTGGATATCTCTCTATCTCTGCCAATTTCACTCCCTCTGCCAGTTTCCCGCTCTCTGCATCTCTCTCTCTCTCTCTATCTCTCTCTCTCTCTCTCTCTCTCTCTCTCTCTCTCTCTCTCTCTCTCTCTCTCTCTCTCTCTCTCTCTGCCCATTTCACTCTCTTTGCATATCTCTCCCTCTCTCTCTGCCAATTTCTCTCTCTCCATCTCTCTCTCTCTCTCTCTCTCTCTCTCTCTCTCTCTCTCTCTCTCTCTCTCTCTCTCTCTCTCTCTCTCTCTCTCTCTCTCTCTCTCTCTCTCTCCCGGTGTCTCTCGCTCTGCTTATCTCTCTCAGTCTCTCTGCATATCTCTCTCTCTTTTTGCCGATTTCTCTCCCTGCATATCTCTCTCTTTCTCTGCCAATTTCTCTCTCTCCATATCTCTCTCTTCCTGCCTATCTGTCTCCCTCTCTGCCAATTTCACTCTCTGCATCTCTCTTCTCTCTCTCTCTCTCTCTCTCTCTCTCTCTCTCTCTCTCTCTCTCTCTCTCTCTCTCTCTCTCTCTCTCTCTCTCTCTCTCTAGTTATTCTGGATCTAGGTATTAACGTGGCATCCGCATGGCTAACATGAGCCCATTCACCTCGCAGCATCATCCTCGTGACACGCATTGGAGCAGCACAACACCGGCGATCTGGCGTCATCCAGGGCAGCAGCACATTGACCCTCCACCCCCTGTCTGCCAGCTCTGCCAACACCCAAGCAGGCGAGGCCAGTCGCAGCCATGCGCGATGTCGCGGCATCGGCATGGCCATCCCCTCGTACCTCTAGCTCCACCCCGGTCTCAGTGATGTCTGCTGATGCACCATTTGGGTGCGCCTGGCCCATTTCCCGCTCCCCCCTCTCTCCGTGCGCACCATCTGCCGCCACCGCTGTACGAATCTCAAACCCTCTTGTGCCGTGCTGCTGCTCCATGGCCACAACGCCCTCCTCAGATATGTTGTTCCCTGTTGTGTTGTCAAAATATACCCACTCTGCATCCTCTTCATCTCACCCTCCGTTAGCGTTCTCTCCAGCAACCCTCGGCTCAACCTCTTCGACCATGCCCTCGACACCCGTCGCTCGTGCACTAGCCTCCACCCCCTGCAGTGCCTCCCCTACCTCAGCCAAGCCTACACCTCCCGGCATCGCTGGTGCGCCGCCCGAACCCCCCTGTGGCAACTGGGACACCACTCCTGCCCGGGCGGTGGGTACTCGGCCCCCCAGTGGGAGTGGGCGCAGCGCCCCTATCTTTGTGGTCACACGCGGCTTCTGTTTTGGGGACTTTGCTGGTCGTTCTCGTGTCTGCACCCTCCTGGCCACTGCGCGCTGCTGCTCCTCGAACGCCGCTCCACGACGCGCACCTCCATGCCGGAAACCAGTGGTGCTTTCCATCAATGTCCCCTCCGGTGCATTCCTGGGTGTGAAGGAATACTCAAGCCCAGGAATACGTGTCTCCTTCATTCCTAGGATAGCCACTGCTGTTGGTAACCCACCACACTCGGCTGTCCGGACGGTGGCTGCGTGCACTCCCAACCTTCTGAAGAAAAGGTCCTTCAGTTCATCTTTCTTGAAACCTGCACAAGGGGGTAATGATTCGGTATGGTGTTTTGTTTATCGCGATCACATATTTAGACAAGTATTGGCGTTGCTTGAAAGTTTCAAACCGCAAGCTCTACACCCATATCCCTCCCACTTTTGCATGCGGGCTCGGCTGCATCTTCCACTCCATTTCATTACCTGCTGCAGTCTCCGCTGCATGGAGGAGGTGTTGCGTTAGTACTGGGGCGGCCTCCATGTACAGCAAGAACACCAAATCCAAACTTGGCAATGCATTTGATGGTGTCAATGACGCAACGCCGCTCCGCACGAGATGTAGCGAGACTTTGATATTTGTGGCCAGGTTGTACCGTTTCTCGGGTTCCTGGCTGAGAACCGCCCCACTAGTGGCCGTAGTTGGTGCATCATCCAGCTCCCCTGTTGCAGCCCTGTTTCGGATGTAAACGGGGGTTATGGGGTGCTCGGGGTTGGCAATGAGTATAATAGCACCCCCCCCCCCTTTGCTTTCTTCCTCTCCTTCCTTCCCCTCGAGGGTCCACAACACCCTCTGGATTCCTCGCCCCTCTCTTCTTTCGCACTCCATCCCTCCCCCCACTCTCACACTCCCTTTCTATATCTATTACCTCTTTGCTTTCTCCCTATCCATCTCACCCCCCTATCTCCCATCTCCCTCTCCAACACACCCCCCTCTGAACGTTCTCCCTCTCCCTCCCCCCTCTCTTTTTTCTTTTCTACCTCCACTCCCCCCTGATCTAACCTCCAACCTTTTTAATCCCAGCCACATCCCAGTTCTCCTCCCACAAACCAATCGTGACGGTCAGCGTCCATTCTCCCCTCCTTCCTTCCCTCCAGTCTTCCGGTCCACTTGTACCCTCAATCCCCAAAATTCCGATACCCTCCTCTCGCCCACCTTAAGCCTTCCCCTTTTTGCATGCATCTCCGTCGTTTTCCACACCCATGGCCTTTAGACCGACCCTTTTCTCCCTGACCCTCTCTTTAATACCCCTACCAAATTCCCTATCCGTTATTTTTCCTCCCGCTGCCTTACCCCCCCTCCAATTTTTATACAGGCCACGGTACCGTCCCCTCTCTCTTCCCCCCCCCCCCCCCCGCATCCCGTACTTTCCCTCCTCGCCTACTCTCAGTTTCTGTCTATCTCTAAGCCTTTCCCCCTATCTCCCACAAGTTGCTCCGCTTCCCTCCCCTCTTTCCTAGTTCCGGCGCCACCTTCCCTCGCCACTTCTCACTGCATGTCACGATCTACAGTCACTCGCATGTCTTCCCCCTCATCCCTCCTATCTCCCGTCTCTCCCTCTGCCCCTCTCCTCATCAGAATGCTGTCCTCTTCTTCCCTCGCTCCCCCTTTGTTGCCCTACTCTCCTTCCCACTTTTCCTTGTGTTGCCCTACTTTCCCTCACTCGGTTCCTTTCTCTTCCCCATTCTCGCTCACCCTTTTCCGCCGCATGCTACGTCCCTCTCTTTATCCTCCAATTGCGTGGCCCCTTCATCCCTTCCCAATTTTCTCTAGCCACCCCTCCCTCTCTGGCCGCTCACACACGGCGCCCGATGCTCTGCGTTTCTCACATGGGTTTCGATGCCTGGGAGTGTAACTGTCGTAAATGCCCGCGCCTCTTCCCGCGCGTGTTCTTTGGAGCGGGTTAGCGCGACGGTCGTCTTGTCTGCCCGCGGGCTCCCTTCGTTCCGGCTTCGGGGTCCCCCGCGGTTTCACTGAGTTCCACTGCCCTGCCTGTTGCGCTTTCGTTACCCGGCTCACGACTCTGTTATGGTCGCTTCTACGCAAAACGGGTCGTTGTCCCCGCAACTTTTGGGGGGAAGGGCTGCCCTAACTATGCTATCACTCACTATCTTTCGTTATCATTGGTATGCATTATAGCACTGCCGAGACTCATCGAGCGCGAGTCGATCGCTTTGTGGGTTTGTGCGACTCACTTGGCTGCTCTAGAATAATAAATACTCTGCAGCTGGGTTTTCCTCCGTAGGCACCTCTTTGGCACTAGTCGCAATAGATAGGCATATGCGCGCAGTGCATTCTTGGTGTTGGCTGCTATTTATGACGCAATCCTGTACTTCCATGTTTGGTGTGGTAGTTGTTCTGGGGGGTTGTTTCCGCCAGCTCGAGTCGAGCAAATCTCGCCCTTGTTTTGTGCTGGCCCCCTTTGCTTCCCTCGTACCGTAATCCCCCGGATATAGGCGCATATGTGCTTATAGGGATTAGGTTCAAAAAGCAGCATGCGCTTGTAATCGAATAAAAAATATACGCCCATGTGCTAATACGAAGGACTAAATGGAAAAATGATTTGAACACACCAAAATGTAGTTGGGTTAATTTGGGTTCCAATACAACTGTCTTCAAAAGGGGACGCGCATAAATATTGCGCGTAATCTCTGACGAAAGTTTTGCCAGCACAACTATGCTGAGAAGGCAGGGTATGGACCAATCATAGGCAAGACAGTGATCGGGAAACGCAGGAATCTGGCTGGCGAGGTGCTTGGGAGGGGTGCGAGAGTGCTGCGGGAGATTTGGCACAGAGTCTCGATATGGAAGTTTCGCAAATCACATGTTTTTTAATAGTAATTCAATGCGCTTATAGGGAATAGATTTTCTTAAAAAAGGGTGCTCTTATAATGAAATAATGGCTATAAGCGCGATTGCACTCTATAAGCCCACTTGGCTGCGCCTATATCCGGGGGACTACGGTATGTCCAATCTGTGGTCTCTGGCGCGTCATTTTGTCGCGTCACCAAGTCCTACATTTGCGACCCTGAATACGCCTTGCTCCCGTTCCAAGGTCACTCTCGCTTAGTCGCTTGCCTTTGCGCATGTTTTTTTGTGCGACCGCATTTCGTCCAAATCGCAGTCGCAGGGGCCATGTGGTGCGCGCCACTTTCGGTCTGGCTCTGCCCCACGTATTTACTAACTTTCATGAGCTGCAAAACGTATGTTTTGCAATTTTCAAATGTGCCCCATTTCAAGAGAGGCCCTCTAGCTAAACACCTTCTCAGAAACTTAGGACACTAGCTTAGCTTGGAAGCTAGGAGACTAGAAATGCCGCCATGGAATGGCGGGAGGAAAGAAGATCTAGGACGGGAGGAAAAGTATCGAGAAAGAAGAGTGTCGATTAGGACAAGAGAGGGGTACAAGGAGGGGATTGTACCCTCTACAGTAAGGTTCAGTAACAACTACCAAGCCTATCAATTATATCTAACTTATATAATCTTAACACACCCCCTAGGCTTGGTAGGCTGAAGGCCCACACAGCCACACACCCCCTAACCCCGCACACCCTCAAGCTTGCGCTTAGCCGGGTATGTGACCCTCGTGCTAAGCGTTGACACCCTCGGGCGAGAGGCAGCCTACGGCGTCTGGGCGGCTCAGCGACAAGCAGCGGCGGAGCTCTGGCTCAAGGCGGCTGGGTCGCTGACGGCAGGCGGCGACTGCCGCGGCTGAGGGCTCTAGGCGGTGTGGCAACGTCCGGGCAGAAGACAGCAGCTGCAACAGGAGGAAGGGAAGACGCATGGGGAAGGGAGAATGGGGGGGGGGGGGGGGGGGGGGGGGTGAGTCTTCAGCGACGCGCCATAAATGGCGCGGCGCTTACTGGCGGGAGGACAGCGTCCTGAGTGACGCCCGTGGCTGGCGAGCGGGCGGCAGGTCCGACGGCGCCATAGACGTCGCTCAGCCGGCCGCAGCCCGACGATGCTGTCGGCTGCCCTAGACGCCGCCACAGCGTGACGTCAATGCCGCAGCGGCGAGGCGGACGGGCGACGGCTACACCATGAGCCCGCGGCGGCATCTCGTAACGGCCGTCACAACGGCACGAAGACGAGAAGCCGTCACGGTGGCGCGACAGCAGCAGGCCGCCACGGCGGCAGGATAACAAGTGGCCGGCACAGCGGCAGGGTACTGAAGGGCCGCGACGGCGGCACATACGCGAACGGTGAAAGCACGCAGCGAAAGCGTGGGGAGCAAGCCCAGAAACGGCCGGCTCTGATAACATCTCAGAAACTCAGGACACTAGCTTAGCTTGGAAGCTAGGAGACTAGAAATGCCGCCATGGAATGGCGGGAGGAAAGTAGATCTAGGACGGGAGTGTTGGGCTGAGAAAAGCCCTTAGGATCTTTCAGAGACTAAGTCCCAGTTGTACAAGATACTTGAGTAGTGCAGCGGAAGTTGAGTAGTTGAACCCTTGCACTAGTATGTGAGAGCAAGTGATTGATTAAAGGAAACAAGCATACAGCAATATATAGAAAATAGGAAAGTAAAGCAGTTGTAGAATACAGTTGAAGGAACGGTTATCGAGTCGCACAGCGACTCGATGGTCGATTCGGTTACCACCCTTGCAATTGTAACGGTCAGTCGCAACCTCCGGTTGCGACCCTTCGAGTCTTTCGTCCTTTCGTGTTCTTTCGTCCTTTCGTGTTCTTTCGTCCAACCTCCTCGTGTAACCTCCGTTGACTCGCATACTTGATACGGCTTCACTTGAGTGTGGTGTTACACTTCAGAAACGCTTAAGTTCTTGCGGTATTTCCAAAACTCCCCTTCGTTTCTGGAGTGCTGACGTGTCCAGATTCGGTGACGTTTATCTGCCCGGTCAGCAGCATGCAGTAATCGAACTTTGCCTTCGCCAGTTTCTTCGTCAGGTAGTCTGCGGCCATTTCTGTCGTGGGGCAGTAACTGAGTTGAAGTCTCCCTTTCGCGATTTCATCCTTTACGAAGAAGTACTGCAGGGCGATATGCTTGGTTCGATTAGCGAACCCGTCTTTGTTTGCGATTTTAATCGCGGATTGGTTGTCGCAGAA